TGCAAGAAGACGTGCAGACCCAAAATCTCCCAATTTTACTTTTCCATTTTGAGTGAGGAAGACATTCTGCATTTCAAGAAAAGGATAAAGATTCATCAAAATTTTTCTAGGAAATGTTTCTGCAGTTTGTATATATGGAAAACAAAACAACAATCACTTCTGATAGTTTATCTTTTTAACAGTTTTTCACTTGCTTCTTACAGTACTTCTGCAAAAGAAGTTGAGAACTATGTTTTCTGTAGAGGGAAATGGAAAGGTTAAATGACTAGCCTAAGGCCCCACCATAAGTAGCACAGGAAGAATCAGAGCTTAGATATGCCTCAGTCTCAGCGCTGTACTCAAACTACTACGGCCACACTTTCTTCTGAAAGTCTGTCTTTCAACCAGGAGAGAATAAGAAAGAGAAAATGAGAGCTAAGACATTTATAAACTGCATACCCCATAACTACTAGTTTTTTTTAAACACTTCTTTTATTGCTTTAAATTATCTGCAGCCTGTCACCAGCAATTGGTGCCATCAGCAGCATGGAAACCACATAAAGGCGTAGATACAAAACGTTTATCTATACTTAGATATTTTCAGCCCAAAATGTTAGATCATTCCATACACTCAACCTTTTCATTTGCCTAATATTCGTAAGCTCAAATGACAAACATAGCATGCAGAAGTAACAGGAAATTATGAAAAGGGGAATTGAACTACTGCAGGCAGAAGAGGGTTTATTAATGGCAGTGAAACATGCTCCAGTCACCTTGGACTTGATATCCCTATGTAACACACGTTTATCATGAATGTGCTTCACACCCAGGCACATCTGTACAAACCACTGAAGGATCTGAAATGAGTAAATAAGAGTTATAAGAGCTCAGTATCGTATGTAATGAATATTTCACTGATGGAACAAAAAACATAAAGAGCGTAAAAAACAATTGTGTTCACAATATCTGTAACTTACAAGTAACTCCAGCACGATGGACTCGAGTTAGCATGAAAGATTTAGTTCTTTAAGATAAAGTATATTTTAAAATGGTAGGAAGAATGTTTGCTGCTTGTACCTAAAAAAGCTAATAATTAAAAAAAAAAAAAAAAAAAAGAAATTAAACTAGGGAGTCAGGAGAGGACACTATCTGCTGGTCTTTTTATAAGCATGTCGATTACAATTTCACAGATAATTAACAAATTTTTTAAATTAGCACTGAGATAACACACAGTTTCTAGAAGGAAAAGTATTCTCTTTACACGTACAAAACAAAGCTCTTAGAGACACCTGGCAAGTCTAAATACTAGGTTAGGTGAGGGTTCTGTTTTTTTCATTTTAACTTAAGATGATGTTTCTAGCTGCGGCAGGAAGTGGTTTTCAATCACTGTAATGTAACTTTGCATCTTTTCCTAAGCAACTTTATAGCTTCTGTGATAGAAGAAGTTAATGCACGCTGGATGCTTTGAACATTTAATGGGTACATAATATGCAGCCATTTAGTCTCCTGGCTACTTTCTGTTATCTCAGAGTGCGTTATTTACTGTTCATTTGCAGTACCTCTTATTGTGCTTTAAAATCTGGCAGAATTTTGGATTAAATTCTTCACTTAATTGCATGCACTTATGCATGCCAACCTGACCATTTTTTGCACACTGTCTGCATATTTCTCAGATACAGACAGCAATTCAATTTCTTGCTTGTTCCTTTCTCATTCCAATTCTTATCTTGTTCTTGTTCTGCAGGAAATTATCAAAGAAATAATGCTTATATTCTACCTATAACTAGATAATTTATTTCATTTAAAGTATTTGCTTTAAGGTTTTTGTATATTTATAATCTTTTTTATGTGATATAGGGTGCTTCAGTTTTCATGAAAAAGGGCTCCTAGGTCCTATGTCAAAATCTCGTCTTTTCTTACCGTATCTTCAGAGAATAGCTTTCCTCTTTGGTGTTTAATCTTTTGCATTAGATCTCCATCATCACAATATTCCATCACTATATATAGATGTCCAGCAGCTAAATTTTAGGTAATTTAAGAATGGTTAGTCATTTAATCAACAGGATAAATTTAACACTGTTATTATAAAACTTCAACTACATGCTACATATATTATAAACAAAAAAAATTAATCCTGCTCCCTCAGCAGTATGCCAGTTAAACACTGGATTCTGTAAAGCAAATAAAGATACTACAAGTGGTTATATTTACCTTCAAATGATTCTTTATAGGCAACAATATTGGGATGTTTCATTTTAGCCAACAGAATAGCTTCCTTCCTAGAGTTCTCTACATCAGATGAAGACTGAAAACGTAAGCACATTTACATAAACATTGCTCTAATGTCTTCATATATACGCATTACATACCTCATCTCCAAAAGAGAAATATTTTTAAGAATTGGTCTTCAACTTATTTTCTTTAGTAATTTTAAGAAGTCATTTAGTAAGAACCTTGGAAATTCCCATCATTTTTCACCTATGGTTTACTACTAGTTTAAGATTTCCTACTCTATTTTTTAAATTGTGAGGGCATCTTACTACTTTAGTTAAGGATTTTCGATTTTAACAATGTGCACCTATGTAACAAAGCAGCACACAGTGACTATGGAACACCTGGCAGTCTACATTGCATAAAGTGAATGTAAAGCCACGTGCCTATGTATTAACTTAGCTTCAGCCTGGATAAAGCAAGTGCCTCGCATTTTGTGCTCTTTTGGTTAGCTAAATACAGAGCAGGTAAGCGGAGTACCTGATTGTCCAGCAACAATAATATGAAGCTAGTTTCTCATCAGGTACTGCAGATGAAATCGTTGTTCTAGTGAAGCCAATGGGAATCCAGTCAACCACATGGAAGAACATGGATCTCATCAGGTACCTCTTCCTATACTGCTACGCTTCCTAAAATGTATCCACAGACTTTGGGAAACCAATTAGATTTTATTACTTTACTTGTTACCAATGACATCAACTCAGATATAGTCATATGGATATATATCATTATATATATACACAGAGAGAGAGAGAGAGTTATGTCTATATATTATTATATACAGAAATTAGATATATAGTGATGTATATAGTTATAACTCGGATATAGTTATATAGCCATGTACAGTTATATAGCCATATCCTGCAGATGTCTAATATGTATAACTCTCACGCAGCATTTTGAAAATATATCCAAAACTATGTATGTCTGGCTTTTTTAAAGCAGAGAGGGAGGTGATACAAATGTAACACTCACCACTGGAAGTCTTACTTCCTTCATTGCATACTTTTGACCACTGCTTTCATGATGAACTAAGAGAGCTCTCCCAAAGGATCCCTCTCCTAGTACTTTCAGCACTTTGTATTCTTCCATTCTTTGTAAACCAACGTTCAACACTTCTCTTTAAATGTTCTTTGTCACAGGATAAACTTCTAAACCTTGTCACGGCCTTAATTCATTTTTTGAGAAAAATGTTGGCCTTTCTCAATATCTGCATGAGAAAACAACTGCAAAAAACGGTGAAGGGATAACATAGTATATTGGTACCTACAATTGTCCCGTCTGACTATAAATTCAATTTCTGATCGCTGTTATCATGATTTTACTGCAAAATGAGACCTTCAAAAAGTCTAAAACAATGTAATAGAGTGCATCTCCACAATCTTGCATCCAGAAGGTTCAAAGCTCTTTGAAAGCATAAATTATAAGCCTGCAGCCTACCAACATTTTTTTTTATCTGCACTTCTGCAGATGGTTTCATAATTCTAAACAAAATCCAAAAGCAAAACAATGATAGAGAGTAGCAAGCTTCAAGCTGTCGGAGACAACTCTCCTGCAAAACGGTATAAGCAGGATCAGGATAAAACAGGATTCTGGACCGTCAGAAAACGTCATTGTTGCTCACGTGGAAAGACCTCAGTGACGACCAGATTTCCAAATTGCGTATCCTCCTTAGAGCGTAGGGACTTTCAGCTTTGTCATCAATGATTCAAATATTAATTTAGATATATGCACCTGTGCACACACAGCATTTAAATGGATCGAGGAATTATTTTTAGAGGGTGCATCTGGGGGCTTAACCGTTTCCAAAAAGAGAAAACTCACTTGTTCAGAGGTTCAAAGAAATAAACACACTGATCGTATTACTTAAAAATCCGAAGACACCCGCATGCTATCTGGATGGTGTCTTTCTTACTTGTTTAAAACACACGTGAAAAAGCGGGGATGATAAAGGAAGTCCCACAACTTAAATTACCCCACCACTCCGTAAACGTCCTGTCACGCTCCCCTCGC